AGAGTAAGGTTTGCAGAAAGGAGGAGGAGGAGGAGGGGGGGGCCTGTGGGGACATTGATGCTCCCTGAGCTTGGAGGTCTTCTTGCAGATGTTTCATGACCCAACAAGGGAACATCACCAGTGTTAGAACAGAGTAAGGTTTGCAGAAAGGAGGAGGAGGAGGAGGAGGGGGACTGTGAGGTCATTGATGCTCCCTGAGCTTGGTGGTTTTCTTGCAGATGTTTCATGACCCAACAAGGGAACATCACCAGTGTTAGAACAGAGTAAGGTTTGCAGAAAGGAGGAGGAGGAGGAGGAGGGGGACTGTGAGGTCCTTGATGCTCCCTGAGCTTGGTGGTTTTCTTGCAGATGTTTCATGACCCAACAAGGGAACATCACCAGTGTTAGAACAGAGTAAGGTTTGCAGAAAGGAGGAGGAGGAGGAGGAGGGGGACTGTGGGGTCCTTGATGCTCCCTGAGCTTGGTGGTTTTCTTGCAGATGTTTCATGACCCAACAAGGGAACATCACCAGTGTTAGAACTGAGTAAGGTTTGCAGAAAAGAGGGGGAGGGGAGGAGGAGGAGGAAGAGGAGGAGGAGGACGATGACGATGACTCTGTAAAGTTAGGCAGAATTTGGTCCCCCAGTGACGATTTCCCCATCAATTGTAACACGTTATTGTGCCTTGTTCTGTTCGGTTCTGCTTTATTTTAACATTTAATTTTTCGTGTGTGCTGGTCTGTTTACCGCAATAAAGACTGAATTGAATTATTTCAACCCCGTTATATATTTACATACAAAACCTTTTTTTTATAAAAAAAAATTCAACTGAAGTTGGGGAAGGTCTAAGCTGTAAGATGGAGCGGGGGAGGAAGAAGAATTAAAAAAAATAGCTTGGAAAAAAAACGGATGAACTAGACTTCTCCGGAGTCTCAAACGGTAATTTGCTGGTTTTCTCTGAAAATGGGCCTTTGGTGAGGCCCACAAGAATCCTGGAAGTTCCTGTACATCGGATCGTAATGCACCTCCTCTCCGGCTGGGTGCCCCATGGGGCCGGTTTCATTCTTACGGGCTTCCTCCACCAGTTGCCGGATGCTCAGCTGCTCGATCTGCATTCAGAAGACAAGGAGAAACCTTGGGTTGGGTCATCGGCTCCGTAGGAAGACCCCGCAGTGCAGCAGAGAGATTGTAAATGCAACGGTAAAGAAGAAGCGGTAAAGGCAAGGCTCAAGTATCAAAAGAGCAGCTGCGTCTGGTAGCTGTTGCACGGAGTCCAGAGTGCCGACGTATACCCTGTGCAATATCCAACATATCTCTCAGGAGAGAGATGGGACGGGATGAGTTGTGGGGAAGCAGAAAGCGGCTTTTCACAGGGCAAAGAAGCAGCGGAGCTTGAAAAGTTGCGACAGCAGGAAGAAGGGTAAGATACCGTATTTTTCGGATTATAAGATGCACTGGAGTATAAGACGCACCAAGATTTTGAAGAGGTAAATTTAAAAAAAAAACATTTCTGCCCTCCCCAGCCCCCAGGAGCACTCTGCAGGCCTCCCAAACCCGCTGCATTCCCTGTTTTTGTGAAACGGGGGCAAAAAACACCCCCGTTTTTGTGAGAAACGAGCCCATTTTCACTTGTTTTTCCCCTCCCCAGCGCCTCCCAAACCCTCTGCATGTCCAGTTTTGTGAAAAACAGGGTGTGCAGGGTGGGGTTTTGGGAGGCCAAAAATGCTGTATTCAGTGACACACCCTGATTTTCACCCTCTTTTTTGGGAGGGGGAAAGGTGCGTCTTATACTCTGAAAAATACAGTAATTCCTCCCTACTTTTCCTAGAGTCTATCTGTAGTAATAGTTGATTGAGTTCCGTGAGGGGCTTCCACAAAGAAGAAAAGGTCCACCTAAGAAGAAGAGAGCCGAGGTGGCGCAGTGGTTAGAGTGCAGCACTGCAGGCCACTTCAGCCGACTGTTATCTGCAGTTCGGCGGTTCTAATCTCACCGGCTCAGGGTTGACTCAGCCTTCCATCCTTCCGAGGTGGGTGAAATGAGGACCCAGACTGTGGGGGCAATATGCTGACTCTGTAAACCGCTTAGAGAGGGCTGAAAGCCCTATGAAGCGGTATATAAGTCTAACTGCTATTGCTATTGCTATTTTCCAAAGGACCAGAAGGCAGGACAAGATGCAACGGATGGAAACTGAGCAAAGAGAGGCAAGATTCTGTCTGTCGGTGAGAGAAGAATGGAGGAAATGATTGTGAAGGAACTTCACTTGCTGCTCTTGGTTCTCGAGCCCGACGGTGAAGGAGGATTTCCTGATTAACAGCTTTCTGGTCTCTGCACAGCCCAGGGGAGTCAATGCAACGGGTCACCTGTTAGCTAAGCCAAAGAGCTCTGCAGGCAGCAGCCATGATGCTTGCCACTTCCTTTGCTCTCCTCAGCCCAGCCAGCTGAGCTGCTCCAGCAAGGAGAGACTTCTCTGGTTCAGACATTGCGTTGAGCTCTCGTGTGGTTTCTCTGGTTTCGTTCAAACATGAGCATAGCCTTTGTGGTGAGAAGAGCCATGCACTGCCCTCAGCCTGTGCATGTCTCCATCCAGCTGTGGCTTATTTAAGAGAATATGGTTGAGTACATCATGAATCCTTAAGCACAGCTCCAGCAGGCCCCTCTCTTGGGCATTAAGGCTTGGAGGAAGACCCTCCAGAAGATGCCCCTTCATGCCAAGGGCTCGCCCCTCTGCCAACTCCCCTCCCTCGCTCCTAAACTGGGGGATGCTCTTTCTCCCAAATTGCATTCAGCTTCCCGGGGACATTTATAAGATGCTTCTCTGTTGCCAAGTCTTCAATTGTTCGTTAATCCTGTTGTGTCTTCGCACTGCGTTCCTCGCACTCCACCTTGTGTGGGTCGTTGAGTTCATTGAGTCACCTTGAGAGTCCAGAATCAGCAGAGGAGCCTGATAGAAGTCATGTGAGAAGGCTCGTGCATGTAGACATGTTGAAAGCTCACAGAAAGCTTTGAGCTCATAATCAGGACCACTTTCTTGACTTATAGGGCCCTTCTGTTTGAGCTGGTTTAGTGCAGGGAATTAAAGAGGGCATATCTTAGGGGCATCTTTAATAAGATATGCCCTCTTTAATTCCCTGCAGTAAACCAGCCCAAACCAGATAGGTTTTTGGCAACGACGTTCAACAAGGAGACAAGGCAAGTTGCAAAGAAGTATCAGGAGCTGCCTGGCCAAGCTGGTAGGTTTGAGGTGCCTTTTTTGGTGCAGGCAGGTGGTCCAAGCCAGCTCTCTGTCAACCATGCCAACATTTTTAATAACCCTCTTGGTGGTTCACTGCATGCTCTTTGCGTTTTATGTTGGGTTTGCCCTCAACTTGGGAGCCAATGCTAGCTTATCTCCATTCGATGCACACTTCAGTTCTGCTCCAAGAAATATGAGGAGCCCAGTTTTTGCTGTTTATGACATGGCCCGTCGTTGCTACTATGGCAAATCCATGCCACGCTTAGAGAGGGCTGAAAGCCCTATGAAGTGGTATATAAGTCTAACTTGTTGGAGCCGAGGTGGCGCAGTGGTTAGGGTGCAGTACTGCAGGCCACTTCAGCTGACTGCTATCTGCAGTTCTGCGGTTCAAATCTCACCGGCTCAGGGTCGGCTCAGCCTTCCATCCTTCCGAGGTGGGTGAAATGAGGACCCAGACTGTGGGGGCGATATGCCGACTCTGTAAACCGCTTAGAGAGGGCTGGAAGCCCTATGAAGCGGTATATAAGTCTAACTGCTATTGCTATTGCTATGCTGAAGAGCAGCAAATGCATGCCAAGCCAAGATATTCAGAAGCAGAGAGATTTTTAGCAAGCAGTTTTGAAGGCCAAGGAAGAAAAAGCAGATGCTCCAGGTAGGAAACAAGACACTCCAAATCACCCACATCAAATAAGATCCCAAAACATGAGCATCAGTCATAGAATGGATCCCACTTCTCAGATTAACAGAGTTGGAAAGCCCACCCTCCTACTCAAGCAAGAGACCCTACACCAGTGATAGCAAACATTTTCCGCACTGAGTATTCAGCATGCCGGAACACCAAAAATCTGAAGACCAGCTGGCCAGTGGGCACATGCCTGTTTTGGGGCCGTTTTCAGGCTGTTTTTCACACCATTTTCAGGTTTTTTTCCCCATGCCATTTTCAGGCCTTTTTCTGGCTCAAAAGAACAGCCCCAAAATGGCAGAAAACGGCCCCAAAACAGCCTGTTTTAATCTGTTTTTAAGGCCATTTTCTGGAGCTGTGGTGCCTGCAAAGACCAGCTTTCTGGTGTGCAAAAACGGCCTGAAAATGGCCTGGTTTTTTGGCCATTTTTCAGACCGCCTTCCAGTGCTTTGGTACCTGCGAAGACCAGCTGGCCCAAAACCAGAAGAAAGCTAGCGACAGAGAGGGCTCTGCATGCCATAGGCTTGCCATCCCGGCCTTATGCCATTTCTGACAGATGGCAGATGTCCAGCCTCTTCTTGAAAGCTTCCAGTGACGAAGCTCCCACCACTTCCGAAGGCAACTTCCTGTTCCATGGGTTGATTGTCCTCTTATCATATGTGGCTGTTTTGAAAAAGGAAAGTGGATCTAACACAAACAAGGAGGACCATCTCTGCAATGAACCTTAGCAAGTCCTGAAATTTGACCTGGGAACTCAAGTCAGAGCTGGTTCCGTGATTGACCGATTCCTGACCGGTTCTCCTGCTTACCTCCACCAAGATCAGCTTGCAACGCAAGGGGACGGCATCTGGAAATTCTTCTCCAAAACACAGGATCACTTTGCTGTTCGGAAAGCGTCCTTGATTGTTATAATACTGATGGAGCTCTAGAAGGGGAGGGGGGAAAAAGCAAACTTGAATTCAATGAAACCAGGAATAGCAATAGAAACAGCACTTAAGCTTACTGCTTTACAGTGCTTCATTACCCTCTCTAAATGGTTTACAGAGTCAGCCTATTGCCCACAACAATCTGGGTCCTCATATTACCGACCTTAGAAGGGCGGAAGGCTGAGCCAATCGTGAGCCTCTGTGAGATTCCAACTACTAAATTGCAGGCAACCGGCAGGCAGCAGAAGTAGCCTGCACTGACTCGTCGGAAGTAGAGGAGAGAAGAAGATAGGAAGAGAGGGATAGGAGAGAGGGTGAAGGGGGAAGATGAGGTGTATAAGGAGGAATGGTAAGGGGAGAGAGGAGAAGGAGAAAGGAAGGGGAAGTAGAGTAGTATGGAATCTCAAATACACCAATGAGAGGAAGAGTGGGAAACAGAGGAGAGAAGAAAGATGGGAAGAGAGGGATAGGAGAGAGGGCGAAGGGGGAAGATGAGGAGTATAAGGAGGAGTGGTAAGGGGAGAGAGGAGAAGGAGAAAGGAAGGGGAAGTAGAGTAGTATGGAAGCTGAAATACACCAATGAGAGGAAGAGTGGGAAAGAGAGGAGAGAAGAAAGATAGGAAGAGAGGGACAGGAGAGAGGGGGAAGATGAGGTGTATAAGGAGGAGTGGCAAGGGGAGAGAGGAGAAGGAGAAAGGAAGGGG